AAGAGATGTGGATCAAATAATTTGGTCACTGAATCACCAAATAATGGATATTGTGTCTCCCAGCCCCTTGGTCCATTCCCCACATAAGTTCACACCCTCACACCTGAATGCCTTGGGCATTTTCACCCTGTGGATGTTGGCATCTCTTACCCTTACCTTGGCTCAGTGGTTTGCCTCCACTCAGAAGTTCCCAGTAGGTTCTGTCGTTACTATTGGCCCTTAGGCCCTGAACAGAGGTGATATAGGGGCCCCATTCGCTTTCCTCCATTGTGAAACTGTGGGGGACAGTAAATGAGTTACAGGAACTTAGAATGTTCAAAGGAAACCCTGGCCCAGCATTTCTCAAACTTTAATGTACTAAGAATTACTTCATGACATTACTAAAAAAATGCAGATTTCCCCAGATTCTTTGATTCCATAGGAATCTGCACATTTTATAAACACTCCAGGTGATTCTGAGGCAGGCATTCCACATTCCATGCTAAGTTAGAGAAATGATGCCCATGCTTTCTGTTCCTGCCATCATAGACACTTCTCAGTCAACAGCTTCAACCCTCCACCCCAAGATACTAACTATTGAAGATACTGAAGTAGTAGAAGAAAGTATTAATCTCATGTCCTGGAGGCACCATAAGTTAGTGGGTTTTCCCTTAGGAAAGAGAATTAGGATAGAATAATATTTCATGTTGTGTCTATTAAAAAGTAACACAGTCAATGTCTGTTTTACTTTCCTTACTCATATATCTCTATTTTCCTGAAAGCCCTTGAAAGCAGCTTTTATAATGTATGTTATGTCATATCATATTATTATTTTGCTCTCCACTATAGCATCCTACACCATGTTGTTAGACCCAATAGATAATTGTCAATTATATTTCAGGAGCCAAATAAATCATACTTTTTGGAAGCAAAGTCAATATTTTATTTTTAATATTTAATCTCCCTAGGCCAGGAATACCTTAATTTAGGGGCCTATGAATTTCCTGAAAGGGGTGCTATGGGGAAGCTTCAGGGCATGTGTGGAGCCCCCAATTTAAATGCCAAATTTTATGTGTATGTTCACTTTTCTGGGATGAGTATTCATTGCATCCGTCTAATTTTCAAAGGGGTCCATGATTCAAAAATAAAGAACCACTGTTCTAGACACAATATATCTGACTTAAGAGGTTCTACTTATTGAAGAAGTTTTGCTGAAAAAAGAGAGAGNAGTTGTCACAGATATAGGTGCCTGAGTGGAGATGCTGAAGTTACCTGGCAGAGAGAGAAAACCAGAGAGCAATATTCACAATAATAATAATGATGTTAGAGTTTGCATACCTATCAAACCCCTGTCCAAAAACTCCTTTCCTTTAGGCAGAGAAGAATTTGCCTCAAGGAGCAAGTATCATCAATCAAAGAGCAGATTTCATATAATAAAGCAGAAACTAAAGCCAGAAACTCACCAGCTTGTGAATCCTATTTAAGCAATTCAGCTGCCCCAACTCCCATTTCTCACAGAGGCCCCTAATTTTTTTGTTTGTTTTTTGCTTTGGTACATTTACTGAAAACATTAATTTCCAAGTACTGTACTAATAATTTTGCATGGATTATTTTATTAAATCCTTGAAAAACCTGATATAGGAGGTGCTCAGTTTCCCTGGGCTCCGGTTTCAGGACATGCCTCTGGGTTTGTGGCCACTCCCCAGGTCTCAGGACCCTTCCTCTAGGCTCTCCCTCAGAGGAAAGTTACTGTTGCAACTTAGACCTATTTTC